GTAAAGTCTATTTACTTGTTAGTTACTCATAATCAATATTATTTTATAGTTATTATTGAAAAGTTTGTGTTTGTAAAGCAACAATTTTAACTTACTGGATATAAAAAAAAATATTACTAAGATAATAAAACTTTTCCTTGTAGATGTTGTTGACAAATATAATAAATAAACTGGGAGATCCGTCACAAGCAGTGGCTTCTAAAGTGATATATCATCTTTGTCAATTGTTGTTCAACCATCCTAATATGAAGGCGGTGGTGCTTGCTGATATTGAAAAGATGTTGTTTAGGTAAGTTTTAGATATAGGTGAAATTTAACAGTGGTAGTGCCCGCTTTAACATGTTAGCACTGCAGGGCACGCCCCCAGTAATACCACGACCACACAGAAGACAAGTGTGAAGTGGAAGCAATTCCGTGTACAGTCTGATGAGTGTGGTGCCGGTGGGCCAATTTGAGTCCCTTTCCCCGTTCCACTCTTTTCTTATAAGGAAAGGATTGGATGGGAAAGTGGATTTGACGGTGGAGGAGGCGCATAGGAAGGGGAAATATCCTCTTTATGTGCGTCTCCTCCTCCGTCAGATAAGGGTAGGCAACGCACCTGCGATTGCGGATGTCTATGGCAGCGGTCGCTTCGCCATTTTGGCGGATTTAGGTGGCCGCTCGCTCATTTGCCACCTTATTTTTTGAAAAAAAAAATAGCAATTACAGTAGAACCTCGATAACGCAAACCTCGATAACTTAAAAACCTCTATAACTTAGGATATTTTGTGTTTCCCTACGACTTTAACTTATCGAGGTTCTACTGTATTAACATAAGTATGTTGTAACTGGATTTAAAACATCTGTAATACAAATGTCAGATAAACTGCATATTTTAAACTATAATACATGAATTTCAACATTATTTAATATTTTTTTATTAATATTATAATGAGGAAAGATTTGTGTTTTTGTATGTATTGAAATAACTCAAAAATTACTTTGTTTTGTTTTCATATAATATAAGTTGGAAAACGAGTAAGCAACCACCTGATTCCGCCAAAATAACTGCCCATAGATATCCGCAATTGTATATGCGTTGCCTACCCTTCATTGATGGAGGAGACGCACATAAAGAGGACATTTCTTCTTCCTCTGCGTCCCAGCCGTCAAATTACTGGGACGATTTCAAAATTTCTTTTACCATTAAGGGTGGATTGCTGATGTAATTTCTTCTTCCAGGACAAACATTTCACCTAGAGCTCAATATTACGGAATCTGTTTCCTCAACCAATTCTTCCTCGGCAAAGATGATTCAAAAATAGCGGAGAATCTAATAAGGATTTATTTTTCATTCTTCAAAGCATCTATTAAAAAGGTTTGTTGTTAACATATAATCACGGAATGCTTTTTAATCTACACTTTTATGAAGAAATATTTATTTGTTTGTAATAAATAGACTCAAAAACTATTGGACTAATTAAAAAATTTCTTTTACCACTAGACTGCTATATTATCACTAAGTAATATAGGCCATAATTAATATTGTTATATAATTTTTTAATTATAAAAATCTATGTTAGCAAATTGCAATATCAGTTGTCAAGTTTAGTACCACCTCGTGTTTGTATTAAGATTCGTGCGAAGATGTTAAAGCGGGCTCTTCCACTGTTTAATCTTTACTAATATAATAAAGCGTAAACACAGACTACTTTGTAGCGTAGGATGTCAGCAATCATAGCATATTTTTTAATGTTTCTTTACTTATTAAAAAGCCCTTCAGTTACGCCACGCTTCAGGCTATATATTTTCACGCTATTAAATTTAGAGAGTAAGTAGAAAAAACTTCCATGTCGAAAATACTATAAACTACAAGTTGCTAACACGAAGCATTGTAATAGTGATTTTGACATTTGACAAATAAACAATAAAAAGGATTCATAATTTCATGCGGATGAAGCCGCACGGGAACAGCTAGTTTATGATATGATAATTTCAGGGTGATATAGATTCTCGTTTAATGTCAGCGATATTGACTGGTGTGAAGCGTGCGTACCCGTTCGCGGACAGACAGCGACTGGCGATAGCGGAGCACGTGTCCGCGGTGCACAGGCTGGTGCACCTCGCGGGGCTTAGTGTCTCTGTGCACGCGTTAGCCCTGCTCTTTCACATCAGTGATGCCTCCGAGGGCACTGCGGACAGGTGAGTTAGTGTCTCTGTACACCGCTAAATATGGGTAGTGCTCGGCTATACTTATATCTATACTACCCCACCGTCAAATCTACTTTTCCTTCCCATCTTCTTAAGAAAAGGGTGGAAAGGAAAATGGACTAAAATTGGGCCTCCGGCACCACACTCTTCAGACTGTACGCGGAATTGCTTTCACTTCACGCCTGTTTTCTGTGTGGTCGTGGTATTGGTGGAGGCGAGCCCTACAGTGCGAAGATGTTAAAGCGTGCTTTACCACTGTCAAAGTGTTAGTGTCTCTTTGCTCACGGCACAGCTCTATACTATTTCTTCTCTATCTCTACTACAATAAAGCGTAAACGCACTTTGTGGCGTAAGATGTCAGCAAACACAGCATATTTTTGAATAATCCTTTCTTTAGTAAAAAGCCCTACAGTTACGACACGCTTTTGTTACTTTTTACATAGAGAATTTTTTTTTTTTTTTTTCAGATATTACACAGCGTTATATCGTAAACTGACAAATGCTGAGATATTCAATACAAGTCATTCCGCATTACTCTTCTCTCTTATATACAAGTCGTTAAAACAGGACAAGAATATAGACCGAGTGACGTCATTCATAAAAAGATTATTGCAACTCTGCTGTTATATGACACCCGCGCAATCTTGTGGCATGCTCTTTTTGGTGTCACAAGTGTTGAAAGATGGTGTCAAGAAAGATGCCATCAAATTAGTATGGAGTAAGAGAGATTTTAAAGAGGTATGTTTATTGTTAGTAGAAAACACACAGAGACACAAACACACACAGCTTAAGTAACCAAAACTAGTATAGAAATGAGAAATTATGTTTAAATAGCTTTTACCCGCGACACCGTACGCGTGAAAAAAAAAACAAAAGTAAGTAGCCTATGTCTTCCAGAATGTCCTCCACATCTATACAAAATTTCATCGAAATCCGTTCAGCCGTTTAGGCTACAAACTCTTACAAACATCCATCCAAACTTTCGCATTTATAATATTAGTATGATATAATGAAAATGTTGTTTATTATCTAGATTTTTTTAGAGTTAAAATTGATACAAACATTTGTATTTGGTATAATTCACTTCTATGAAAAAAATATCCACTAACTTTAAGTTATAAATTCTTTGAATAATACTTACAAATACTAAAATTTATATTCGAAGCAAAGATAACTATTTTAAAGGACTAAGAAACTTTAAAAATACTTTAAATTTAAAACATGTGTTAACTAAAGAATATAAAAATATTAAGTAGTATGTTGTAATTTTATTTTTTGAATCTTTATAGGAAATTAAAGACGAAGAAACAAAGACAGAAGAAGAAGGAACGAATACAGAAGATACAATAACAGAAGAACAAAATGAAATAGAAGTTAACGATACAATAAACGACACAATTGATTCTACGGAAGATAATAATGAAGTGAAAATAGAAAGCAAGAAAATCGATCTTCTTCGAGGCGATAAGAAAGATTTATTACTAGGTAAGTTTTTGAAGCTTATATCTTTCAATTTAAAGCCTAAATATTGTTAAAAACAACCAAAGAGAGCATTTTATACAGCAGAACCTCGATAACTTAAAAACCTCTATAACTTCAAAACATAATATGTTCCCTTCCCATCAGAGTCCAAAACCTCTATAACATAGACTCTTGATAATTTAAAACCGCTATAACTTTATATTTTGTGTTTGCCTTGGACTTTGAGTTATCGCGGTTCTACTGTATTTCAGACTAGCTGTTCCAGTGCGGCTTTGTCCGCATAAAGTTATGAAAATTTTATTTAATTGTTTCAAAATGACGTGACATGACAAACCTTAGCAATCTTTCTTTCTTGATGTTGGCAGCAACTTATGGTCTCTTTCCCACATTAGGGTTTTTATCCAAAATATTTACCCCCTAAGTTTAATGGCGTGAAAATATATAGCCTAAAGCGTGACGTAAGTTTAGGGTTTTTATTTAAAAAAAGAATTATTAAAAAATATGCTGTAATTGCTGAGATCTTAGGCAACAAAGAAGTGTGTGTTTACGCTTTATTATAATAGTATAGAAAAACACTTTTTCTTATATAATCCATATAATGTCACCTGATTTGTTTCACAATTTTCAAAAAAATAATATTTTTTGTTGAAAATATAAAAAAGTTATTTATTATAGTCTTTGTTAAAAACATCATCATTTAGACTTAAGGCGTAATTCTTCAAACTAACATCCATCTAAACATTCGCATTTATAATATTAACTAGCTTTCATACACGACTCCGTCCGCGTAGATTTACAAATAAAAGTGAGTAGCCTATGTGTTCTTCCAGATTATCCTCTATATCTATACTAAATTTCATCGAAATCCGTTCAGCCGTTTAGGCTACAAACTCTAACAAACATCCATCTATCTAAACTTTCGCATTTATAAGATTAATTTCTTTCCAGATGATGATGAAGAGATGTATGTAGATTTGAAGATGGATGATGAAGGGAACATAAAACCGAAGAAGCGCAGAACCGCTGCTGTTACAGGCTGGTTCCACGCTAAAGTGAAATCAGAGGAAGATGCAGAAGATAAAGAAGGAAAGAAGAAGGAAGCAGCAGATAAAGAGATCATCGCTAAAATACAATTGACAAAAGCCGCTAATACTGATAGAGTGAGTTTTTTTATA